AGAAGAAGAGAATAATAAATTAAAAGTAGAAATGAAAACTTAAAAAAGGAATTAATTACATCATTTGATGATCAGGAATCAAGAATTAATTTTATTACAATAATTGCCCAGAAGGAATGTAAAGATTTATATAATGATATCATTAATTTAATTAATGATCAGGATCAATTTAGTTTAGATAACCTTTTAAAATATTCTACTTCTAAATGGCTTGCTAAACAAATCCAGTAGTAATTCAGGCAGATAACAAAGGACTGCTGAGAAAACGTTACCGGACGGGAAGTAATAAAACTTGCCCTACAACAAATTAATAGCTTGAGTGCTATTACTGCCATAAAATAAGAAAACGTGATTATAAATTAAATATTTGGATACTGCCACACAAACAAAATAAAATACTATTCTAACCAAATCTAGAGATTTGTGTGAGGCGCGGATTTTGACCTCACACTACTTTAAAAATAGTTGATCTTAGTGATCCTATTTTTAATATAGATCAAAACAATGATAATATAAATGAAAACCAGGAAGTAAGCAGGAATGAATCAACAGAATGTGATGTTGAAGAATTAGTTAGCCAATTTTTAACTGACTGATAATATGTAATTGTTGTAAAAAAATAATTTCCGTGTATTTGGGCTTTTTAAAATAATTTATTTCAATTTCGATTTTTTGAATTTCTATTTTGATTTTGAATTTTGGTTTCAATTTCAAATTTAGATTTTGATTTCGCCAAGGGTATTTTGATTTTGAAAACTTGTGTGATTTTTTCCATCATGTATGAAAATACTTTACCTCAAATCTGTTGAGAATAAATTTGGCACATTGTTAACATAATTGCAAAAAATGGATCAATTAAGGTATTGGTATTGTGATTAATAGAAAGCAAAAAGTGAAATTATTTTCGCCTTTTGATTTGATTTCAAGCTTCTCAAAAGTTCTGTTAAAAATAGATTTTGTTTCCTATAAATGACGAAAAATGTAGATCACGTTCGTACAAAAAATCGCGTAGGTATGATCGGCATCATCATAACACCAACTCAAATAAAATGTTTAATCCAAGAATTTCAATTGACAAGAATTCCCTCAAACCATCATCACCTCATCAACTTTATCAAAGAGCAATGACTGCCTTTCAAGGAGAACAATACTTAACAGCATCATTTTTACTTACAGAAGTATGTTACATGTACATATTATATTCTAGTCAATAAATAAAATAAATCTAAAAATTATTATTCATTTCAATAGGCAATTGATTTGAATCCAAATAATATTCAATTTTATTATTGTTGTTTGCTTTCATTTTTATTATTATTATTTGGAAGTATGGATAAAATATTAATTAAACAATTTTATTATTGTTATTTGCATTCATCTTTTTTTTATTTTTTGGGGGATTTGGATTTTTAAATTTATATCACATGAATTCGTTAACGCGATTAAATCCTACCAAAAAATCGTTGTTCGTTGTAACAAGATTTAAATACAAAATTCGTTGAAACGAAAATCCATTGAAACGAGGGTTTGACTGCTGCACTTTCAAAAACATTTTCACATGATTTACAGCTAATCAGGATGATGAAAATGAATTAGCAAGTTAATTTCATGGACAAAGTTTGAAGCTTCAGTGATCGGTTTACTTTGTAAAACGTCGTAATTATACTTCTATGGATCATGGTTAAGGCTTACAAAAATAGAATTATCAGGAAGACAATTGTGGAGAAATGATGTAAAATCGCAGAACTTTAAACCTTTGTAACTTTAACAAAAATCTCTTTGCGCTATTATAGCACAAATAAAACTGCAGCGAGTTTTTTGTTCTAGCATGCTTGGTTATTGATTTTAACGATTGGAAAAAAATTACTGTGAGTGACCTTATTTAATTTTAATTAGTATTAGGCCACCTTACGAAAAGGCGAAAGATTCAGTCAATCGGTACATTCTCTGTATTAGTATGGTAAAGCTGAAAACATACTAATACAGTGCAAGATTTTTTTATAGGGATGTTTAAAACAGATCATTAATAAATTGTTTATGCATCCGTTCCAAAGTACAAAGCGCGAAGTATTGTTGAGTCATAATGTTAATTGGTTACAAAGTTCGAGAAACTTATATTTACATTGGCCATTCCAAGTGTTAGTAATTATAATGATAGAATAATAAATCTTTGAGGTATATTAACATTTAGCAATTGTTTTATTATTAAAATATGTATAATTCGGACATAATTTCCTCAAATAATTCAATATTACCACATGCCACCACTACTTTCTATATTTTCTTAATTATCACAAACATGATTGAGCGCAACATTTTCCAAGAAATATTGTTGTTGACCAACCAGCAGTAATATCTTATGTCGTGATTTTTATTCGCCCGTTCTGGAGTTTCTCTAAATACAAAATACTTTAGTATACTGAATGGTATGGTATAGCAAATTAATGAACAAAAACATCGATAAGAATAACGCTGGCTTCTGGTTCTGTCCATATACCATTAAACAATGCTTTGAAATAATTGCATCTTGGAGCATTTATATTTCTGATTCACCATTATTGAAATTTGAAAGCGACGTCACTAAAAGTTTTATTATTAAAATATTCTTTTAAAGAAGGAAGAAATTTGATGATAATACCACGATTACTATAAATAATATCATTAGATAATGATGATGTCGATGAATCTACTAAAACAAATAACTTTGAAGTATATAAAATATTGATGTATGAAAAATATTTTGTAACATTAAAAATCATTAAACTTTATACTTTTAATAATAATATTTTGACTACTACTTGTATGATCAATTCAATCATTAACACCAAAGGAACAAAATTAATTATTTGCAATAAAAGCTATTGTTTGTTTGTTTATTGTTGTTTTTTGATTTTAATATTAATTAATGCATGCTTTATTCACTTTTATTCAATTACCATTATTTGTTTTGTTCGTTTTGTT